CCGATGCACTGTCAGGAAGAGGATATGACGAGCCAAAACTGCCACTGGCATTCTTTGCACCAGTGGAAGGAGCCAATCCTAGGATCAATTAAAAACTGGTCAGAATATTAATTTGGAGCCATTTTATGATCTTTGGATGCCAATTTAAAAGAAAGCCGTATTCGTGCTGATATTAAAGGCTCTTAGCACAATTTTAATCACTATCTATATATCGTTATTAAAAACATAAGATTAGTAAATCAAATATTCTCCTTATTCTTTTTGCCTTTACGTTTCCCTTGATAAGGGGCGAACTTACATAAAGACTTTTCAGCTCCTTTATATCACAAATGTACATTCCTCTAATAGTTGCAGCTCTTACAATTTTGCCTCCCATATACTACTTATTTAGAAGAGATTCCGAAAACGGAGCATACAGTACGTTTGAAACAATTAAGATACCATCAGATATAGCCCAAAGAAATAGCATTGTATACTCTGATCAAACGGTTTTAAGTCCCAGTACTTTTGTTATGCAAGATGTAAATCCAAAATATTATTCACAACGGTCAATTGAACAAGCCAAGCCATGCAGGATCATTGAATATCCATCATCTGAATGCTTAGATCCTATAGATAGAGAAATAGCTCTGTTGAGAACAGAAGTTAAACAAGAAAGGCAATCGTTGGGTGAAGCAAGAGGCCAATTAGGAGATATAGTGGAAACTACAAGAAATTTGCCTGAAGACAAGATATTAATAGAAGGAATGGAGATAATTAAAAGGACTGAAAAAAGAATAAAGCAGGCAGAAGAGACCTTGGAAAAACTAGAGGAATTAACCGAAGATAAAATAGAACTACAGGTTGCAAATAATGGTGTTCTTTCTGACTTTATCATTGATTATCCAAGACAATTTGAGGTATTCTTAGAAATGGGAGGTAGAGAAGTTTACGAACAGATCTTTGACATGGTTATAGCTAGCTATAACGAAGAAAGACGAACTCTTTATGTAGGTTGCAAAGATCATATCGTTGATATTGCAGCAATATCATGCTTCAATCTTCATAAGCTAGATAAAGCCACAGTGCCCGATACTGAAACTATATTTAAACCTGTCATTGATACGTTGAAACAAAATCGAGAAGAAAAACAGCCGGGGGCTTTTAAACTTTCCATTATTGATTTTTCTAAGTTTAAGCTTAGATATTTGCCCATATGCGCATTGAAATTTTTTACAACGGCTTTTGAGCTGAACATTGCGAATACAGGTATCCGAACAGGATTTGAGGAACTCTCAGAGATTGAAACCCTTTCATTAATAACCATTGATTATGAGCAATCAAAGAGCTTTGACTTCAAAACATTAGAGAATAAAGAAGTCCAAATTGTGCATACTAACGAGCTTAAGACGATTAGTCCCGAGAATGTAGCTGGGCAGAAAGAAGGGGAAGTAGCCATGAAAAAACAGCCAACAACAGGAATAAAGGAGACTAGAGAAGGATTGACGGATGACGGTCTTCCAATAGAAAACACGATTGTAGAGGGTTCAAAGTGGATTCATTCTTACCCTAAAAGATTTGATGAGTTTTTGAAACTAGGTCCAAGAGCAGATTGCGAGAAGCTTGTGTGCAAAGTTTATGAGAGTACAATAGATGAGAACGTGAAGCGCCAATACGAACTTTATAAAAAGCAGATTGTCGATCTTATGCTGATATCAGTCTTCAATTTAAAACGCTGTGCCTATGTTTCCGAAGAACAGAAGGATGCCATACTTAAAGAAGCTGCAAATACCTTTAGACAAATGCTTGAGTCCAGTATTTTTGATATAAAGGAGTATGCCCATGTTGTTCTCAGTAATTTTGATTTTCACTACTTGCCTTTTGGTGCCTTAAAGTTTTTTCATTACCTCAAGATTTTGAACCTGAGAAATACAGGTATAAAAAAGGATTTTGAGAAGCTTTGCTATTTTGAGGGTCTTGAAACCATAGGAATCAGCAAGGATCAACTGGGATGTGATTTCGACAAACTTGAGGAAAAGAACATCAATATTATATTGGATATGCCTGATGTTTATGGCTAAGCTTTTTGGTTTTAAAGTATGATGCCTACTAATATTCATAGTCTTTGTTTTAATGCTTCATGCCCAATATATGACTTTACTACATTAAGGATGTTTGTAAAAGCACAAACGGTCACGATTCTGCACATCGCTTCTATCTATCAATTTATTCTACCAAAGACCGTAATATATTGCTTGCGGAAATGCAGTTATTCGTTTTATAAATAAACAGAGCTTAAAAGCGGCATATAAAGGCTCGTGCATGTATATTAATTGTCTGCTATTTAATTAATTTAGGGTTCGGCAAATTGTGTAAGATCGTATAAAAGCTCAAACGAGCCTGTTCCGCTCTTTAAGACATCGCCAGTCAAAATGCAAGAAGATGGCCCGTCTACCATTTCACTTTGGTTGAAAAGTGCCGAGTTCTTTAAATTCGCGAAGCAGCTTTCAAAACTCATCTTTTGAACAAACGAATCATCCATGGAGAACGAGTGCCTGCTGAACGCCTTGAAAGTGCCATCCTTAGTCATATAATCCGAAACAAGGTAAAGGTGTCTAATGTTGATATTAATGCCGTACACTTCAAACACATTAATAATTTCCTTCACAATAACTTCACGCGCTGCCTCAACACCAAATGTTTTATAGACTGCATGTATGTCATTGGTATGGGATTGATAAAAGTCAATTTTCTCCAACAAATCAATTCCCTCTATGCGATTCGTCAAGTTGAGAAACTCTGAACCCTCTAAGTGGAGGAGGCCTGAAGAAAACGTAGCTTTATTGAATCCCTTAACTTGCTTCACGGTAATTTTTTTGACTATTCCCTCAATTATTGGCATCAAAAGAACGGTGAAGTCAGAGGGATAATAGATTTCAAAACAGTACTGTCTGGCCGAAAGACGTTTTAAGTTTAGCAAGTTAATTTGGACCTCTTCCTCTTCCTACCGCTTCGACACACTCGTCAATATTTTCAAGAAATTCATTCTCTGCCATATTATCCTCTTCAGAGCTTACAGCAATCTTCATTTCGGAACCAATTTCCGTCCTCGAAGAGGTTGAGCTGCTCTCTTCATCATCTATATCTGGAAGAGCTGCATCGTCATGGTCATTCAAGGTAGATCCTAATGCTGCTGCAGATTCGTTATACTCGGTAATACCAGTAGGCGATGATCTTTTTTTCAACTCCTTTTCCCAGAAGCTTCAAAAAGCCCACATCTATAGCCTTGATCACAGCCTCTACACTATCGCGTATGTCAAACGTAATTTTAACATGTTTCTTGTATTCTTGGTCTTTTTGAACTATTGCCTCGTCTACCATTACTTTCTCTATACAGTCCTCCAAAGTAACTTTCCTAAAAAGATTTATAAGAAGCCCTGAATCATCAGGATCGATTAGAGGTACTGATATCATTGGAGTTTTGATATTTTTTGAGGCTATCATGAGAATCTCACGCAGACGAGGAATACCAAGAGTGACATTCTTACCGCCTACGCCGGCCAAATGGAAAGTATTAAGAGTCATCTGTCGTACTTGGCTCGCCTATGGACTGTGCAGCAATAATGCCAACGGCATGTCCGGGATTTGTTAGCGAATTTATAAACCTGTTGTACATGAAATTTGCAAGATGCACAGGAAGCTTTTTGATAGATTCAGCATAGTCTTCTGGAATAAGATCCGCATCGTAGCCATAACTATTATTTGATGTGGCAGGAGTATCAAGCTCATCTTCTATCCTGCTAGATTTCTTAAAATGGTCAAAGTTTTGCATGTAAAAATCAAAGTTTTTCAAATATGAACATTTAGTAATATCCAAGCCATCATCTCCAAACTTAAACTGAACAATTCTATCTCCGCTCATAACCTTTCTATCATTTCTAACATAGACGCTTTCAAGATGTTTAGCAAGACATCTCTGCAAATACCCGCTATTAGCTGTCTTTATCGCAGTATCAATAAGACCTTCTCTACCTGCCATTGAATGGAAGAAGAACGTGGCAGGATTAATGCCAGTCAAAAATCTTTCAAATATAAATCCACCAGCTGACGGGCACATTTCCAGTTTTCTAAAACAGGGAAGTGTCTTTCCGCTCATCATGAATGGCACCCGTTTGCCCTCAAGTTCCTGCTGGCCCAAAGCCAGCGAAATCTGGCCAAGATTAACCATAGAGCCCTTGGAACCAGACATGATAATATCCACCATGTTGTTTGCTGGGAATCTCTTGAGCATGCCAGACTCTAGCAATGGAGCAACCCTAGTGCTGACATCATTCATAAACCCCCTCATCTTCTTGTCTAAAATTCCAGTCTTGTTTTCATTAAAGTAAAAATCCTCAATATTGAACAGTGGATGAGTAGCATCTTTTGCATTTTCTGCATTAGAAACGAGAGCATCAAAACTTTTAGATTTCTGCATGTCAAAACCATCAGGACAAGCAAGGCTCTGGTAAGCTAAAGCTGCTGCATTGCCCTCGGCAAATATTGCATGTCTACACCTGTCTGCATCTGCACTCAAAAGAAGATCATCAAATCTAACAGTAAAACCTTTTATATCATGTATCTATTAACCACTCTGCTAAAACAGGTGAAGAGATCGTTACAAAGTTTATACCCATAAATCTCACCACATGCATGAATCAAAGAATGAGCTGAGGCGCCAACTGAGGCTTTGTCTAAAACACCAGATATAACTTCCCCTTTAAAGACACAGAATTGACCTTCTTCTCCCTCAAATTTCATCTTTGATTTAACGGTAAAATCAATAAGAATATTAAAATTCTTAAGGACAGTAGTAATTACTTGCTTTCCGGAATATAAGGGCACTGGAGACTGTATGCAAGGTTCGCAAAAGAGAAGAAACTTAGATTTGAGAAGGATGTTCTTGTAATTCAGATTGCTAATGCCATTGTCGATCATAGACATGTACTCCTCTTTGGTAAAGAACGAATCCTTTAGCGTAAGAAGGACCGCAGCTATGATATGGTCTTGTGTCAATCCTCGGATAGGTTCACCCGACGAAGGCGCAAAATAGCTGTTATCATTCAGGGCAAGATGATGTACTTCAGATAGAGAGTTATAGTCTTGGGGAAAATGCACATTCATCTCATCGCCATCAAAGTCAGCATTGTAAGATTTACAGTTCACATAGTGTATCCTGAGTGTTTTCTCGTTTTTCAGCACTTTAGCCAGATGCCCCATTAGAGAGGTACTGTGTAGAGTGGGCTGTCTGTTAACTAGAAGCGGATCCCCAGTAAGAAGATGCCTCCAAACCACCTTTTCACCATCTAATAATTGGTTTGCAATGGATATTCTATTTTCATATGAAATGTATCTTAGATTTATAAGCGCCCCGTTGTTTTGGACAAAATTAGCACCGGGATACTGCAGACCGTTGATTACCATCTTCCTGAGCTTTTCAAAATTGAAAGTCGTCACCTTTTCCGGAAAAGTCAGCTGGGTGGCAAAGACAAGAGGAATTCCAACATCCCTAGCTTCTAAGCTAGGATCTGGAGAGATAACTGAGCGAGCGGCATAGTTTACTCGCTTTCCCATAATATTTTTTCTGAATAGTCCTTCCTTTTTTTCCATTATCTGCTTGTGGCCTACATAAGTGCCACGGGCACTCTTTGAACTATCAAAATAATACAGCACAGAAGATTGTAGATCAATCCAGTGCTGTTCGTCGTTTTCTGTCATCACGGAGCTGTGTATAATTCTGGAAAGATGAGAATTTAGCGGAGACTCACTGACCTTATTTGCCACAAAGTTGGCAGGTCGAAATTTATTGGGCATTATTGGCAAAATATTGATAAAAAACATCTCCAGTTTATCAGAGTTGAACATTTCAAAAACTAAAACACTTTCATGTTCAAACAGCTTTGAAATAGTGTCCTTAACCAGCTGGGGATTCACATAGTCACACATTCCACTGGGATTTGTCTTCAAAATTCTCATACCCATTGCTTTCGTAAATTTTGGACTTTTGAAGTGGCAGCGAGGACATGTGCCTTTCCCACTTACTTTTCTAATAAATTGGCTTACAAGATCACAATGTATGGTCCTTTCATATCCACTTCTGTTTTCCTTAAGCTCGTTGAGCTCCTTTACAACCATTTCCTCACTTTTTTCAGTAACGAAGAGCTCGATGTTTGAGATGTTGATTCCTTTCTTCAAAGCCTTTAGTCTGGTATAAAAAGCAAAACGTTCGTTTGCTGTGATTTTGAAATGAAAGCAATTACAACAGCAAGATTTTATCAATGCGTAGGTAAAATCAAAGGACAATGGATTTAGAACTGGTTTGCTGAGTCTGTAGTGTCCAAAGTGCCCAGGACATGATAGATATCCCAGTTTGCATGTCTGACACGTCGAGTCCATATTAAGAGGCCCCATCCTCAAGTCATACAATCCATCTGGAACTGGGTGGCCAAACATGTCAAAAGACGTGGGCAGCGTTACTTCTACAGCACTTATTTTCAGTATTTCGTCGTCCGAATACCAACCCAAAGAAAGAGATTTTGGATTGAACTTCAAAGACATTGGGGCGAAATAAAAGAAAAGCTAAAGCAAAAATTTATCAAAGATCCAGTTTTAGAGCTAATGTAACAGTTTTTTACACATTAAATGGTGTATAAACTTAAACGGGCTAATATACAAGACAGTATATTTGATTGACAAAACCACAAACATATACGTGTAAATAACATTAATTCATTTAAGATATTTCTAAAAAAGCCCTTATCTCACATAAACTGTTGTAGTAACAACACTTTCATTCTCTTCCTGTGGTTCTTCGGTCTTGTAAAACGTCCTAATAACCGTTCTTCTCTTACCTTTTCTATTTCTCTGCAATCCTGCGTTTTGCTCTAATCCCAAATTTTTGTCTGCTCCAGTTTCAGGCATACCTTCTCGTGCCATATTTGTTCCCATTTGGCCACTTGGGTCTATTTTTCTCCTTATAAAGTTTTTGGGAACATTTATAAATCTACATACTGTTTTATGCTTTGCACGTTGCATATCCGTCGTTACCTCACAGCCTTTGGCTACGGCCCTGGACACTGAGAAGGACTTGGATACTGTCTGAATAGAAGATCCTATTGTTATTGTTGATAATACAGTTGGAATATCAAGGCATGTAGTAGATTGAGCAGGCGCTTCTCTTGTTTCAGGAGTGGCAGTGACGGTAATAATAGAAATACTAGCTTTAGACGGCTCAATGCTGGATGTGGCCTGCACTGTCTTAATAACCGTTAATATTCTTCCATCTAGTGGGTTATCATTAGTGGCACTTCTACTGGTGTCAGATGCTGGCGGTAACACTGTTCTTTGAGTCGAGGAATACTCGTCAATATCATTTTGGGGAAGGCTGTTGATTGCAACTGTCTTAGTGGCTGTAACAGTCACACTCTCCATCTTCGTTGAAACATCGGTAAATGTTGTAACTTTATAGTTTATGATTGGTTTCTCCTTTGTTATTGTTGTTGTCAGTTCCCTGAAAAGTGTTATTGGCTTTTCAACTGTCTTTATCTTTTCAAGGATTCTTGTGACGGTTACGTCCTTTGATAACGACTCGCTTAATAAGTTAGAGGATTGCGTGTATAAAGAAGGTAAAATGAAAGGTGGATTCTTTTTCTTATCTTTTTTCCTTTTATGCTTTGTATTAATTTCTGTGCTATTATCAAGACACTCTTCACACTTATCTTCAATACATTCCTCGCACTCATCTTTTCTCTTTTTGTCGTCTGATCGGCATTCCTCGCATCTATCTTTTCTTTTTCGGTCATCCCCGCTCTTTCTTTTCTTGGAAGCCTCTTTGTTCTCCTCGCATGAAGATGACGACTCTTCTTTTGTCTTTTTATTCTTTTTCTTACAGTCTTTCTCATTTGATACACTTGCTGTTGAATCAACCGTTACTGTCTTAACCTCATTCATCGTGACTGTCACAATCTTCGGATCTTCTGAGCTACCAGTATAGGATTTATCAACAACCGTTACTGTCTTGATATTTTTCAAGTATCCATTTGGATCTCCATTAATAAAGTCAAACTTAGCATTGTTTTTGCTGCTTTCTGCATAGTTTTTTATAAATTCTATCAGATCTTCCTCGTTTCTCCTCTTCTTTGTACACTGCTTCATGCATTCTTTGCTGTCACAAATATCACACTCGTCTTTGAATAAATACGCCATGCATCTTCCCTGGTCACACCTTCTATCCTTCAATATTGGATAGCTGGCGGATGAAAGCATCGAATTAAAAATCCCCGATTGGGGATATGTTGGCTGCTGTAGCATTCCACAGTTTTGTGCATTGGCAAGACATCCCTGTTCTAGCATTGTTCCGCTACCTATAATCAAAAATAATATACCAATCATGTTTTGTTTTCATTTCCCTGGATTTATTGCATGATATGTTTCAAGATGAAACTGTTTTGGTATGTTGCAGTACAATAATAACAGTGTTGAATATCTCATTACACTCTCCTTAACTGCAAATATCTTTTAAACTTTATCGTATTTGGCCCTCCAGAGTGGATGTCTGTAAAGTACAAAATTGCGTCATCAAGCACAGAGGAGGGAGAGGTCCATGAAAACACCTTTCCATATACAAAATCATATCTACAGTATTGCTACTACCCACTAACAACCCAGTTTATAGGAAAAAATACGCTTCCGAACATAATGAACTACAAAAGTGAAGGAATATGCCAAAAACTCAAGAAAGAGATAAAGGCGGACTATCCGTATATTTCATTTACACTCTTAGATAACAGCAAGCCATTTTTTGATAATAGGTTTACTTTTATTTGCGACTTAACTGCACGTGATATTTCCGAAGACAGCAGTAAAACGAATAGTAAAAGTTCGACCTTTAGGCTTGTCTCGTTGAAGCCTGATTATAAGGAAATTAAGAATCTTGGCAGAAGCCCATCAAATGAGAGTCGATACGACAGGTTCTTTCAGAAATTCTTCTTCATGAAGGAAGATATCCAGTCTTTTGTTTTTAAAGACTGCCTGAGAATATTCGCGCTTGAGGACAGAGTCTTTGAGAATTTAGATAATAAAAATGCATTTATGTTTTTCAGGGTCTGTGACCAAGACTGTATTGTTGGCGAAGATCAGACAAGCAACAGAATTGAAAGAAAGATAAGAAAGTATGCCTTTGAAGATGTTTTCTATAGCAGCGCGCAGTTCTATGAGTATCTGAACATATATTCTGAAGCTCTCGTACGAAGCCATTGCAGCGAAGAAATAAAAACATACAATACTGATGATAGTGCATTTATTATTTACTCCAGCACTTCTTTTAAGGAAGATGGGCAGTTGAGGAGGATGCATAGCTCATTTGACTCCAAGAAGAATGTCAGAGTTATTTTTAATAAAGACGGGCCAGTATTTTCAAGCATTCAAGGAAAAGAGTGTGACAATATAAAATATCTTGTAGGTTTAGATCTTCCAGAAGGAGACTACGTTGTTAATGATAAGAAGGTATATAAGATAGGCACAGATGGCATACATTTTGAATATAAAGGACTATTGTACGAAGACTTCACTAAAAGCATATGGGATTATTAGGAGATTAAGCAAGCCGAAATGTGCTTTATCATGAGTGTACGACAATGGCCTGCATGGGCTGCACTGTCAGTACATATCAGCATTTGTTTTGGATTCTTAGCACTCTACGGCTGTGCATTTCATGTGAGCTAAACTTATGATTGGCATGCTAGTGGCTGGTTATTGCAAACCAAAGTTAAATAAACTTTAATACTGCTAATTGTATTTATGCTTTTTGCTTGTTTATGCGTTTCATCTTGAAACACGCATAAAACAGATTAAAACATTTTTCAATATGAATGCTATGGAGAACTATGTTAAGTTAATTTCAAGCGACTCGGTCGAATTTGTGGTAGAGACCGAGCTGGTAAAGCATTCACGAACACTTGCAGTATTCCTGGACGACAGGTACCCATTTATTCAAAGCCAAACCAAGGAAGTTAGGCTACCTATCCGATCTAAGCACCTTAAAAGGATACTTGAGTTTATGCATTTCATACATAAAAGAAAAAGTGGAAACAACATGGAGTTTAAAATTAACGACGAAGAAACCATGGATTTATTAGAAATAGCATCGTACTTGAGAATATGAGTAAGCATTAATGCAGTACTCGGTTATATTAAGACTTTGAAGATTGTAGAAATGGAATCTTTGATAAATACACATAAGTATGTTTCGCGCTAGAAGTAGTAAACCCTACAATCAACTGCAGTCGAAAAGGAAGAGCGGCAAAGTTGCATAACGAAACAACCATATCTAACTATCCAGTTTAATAATACATTCATTTTAAAATAAAATTGTTTAAATTTTTTCACCGTCAATGTTTCTCCAGCAGCTATCTTTAAATCCAAACCAGTCCTACAGCACGACGACAACGCTCGAAAACTTAATAGAAAACTTACAGTTGTCATTTAATCATGTTCCCATCCTCACCCCCTTTGCATCTAAGTCCGAAAGTGTTGAAAGGATTAAAGAAAAACTGGGCAGTAGAAAATCGACCTCTACCATAGATTTAAACACTTATCTGCAGTTTCAGAATTCATTTGACTGCACCCATGTCATTCTTCTTGAAAAAGAGCTCTTTGACAAGTTTGGTATTGATATTTCTCTTATAAAAAAACCTTATATCGTTATTGAGGGTAGGGATAGCACAAAAATCGGCGGGGGCGATCTACCCAAAGCCCAACTCTGTAGATTTTCAGTAAGACGACAAGGAGAGGATGCATTAGTCGCCCTTTTCATTCTGACAAAGCTATTTACTGGAACTGTAATAGCTAAGAAGACAGAGCGTCTTAAGATATTTTTCAAGGTTTTCCAAATTGAATGGAATATTGTAAGTTTTTCCGAGTTAGATACATCTAGCATTAGTGACAATGTTGGAGAGTGTGTGGCCATTATGGATCGCTATTCAGACGCTGATGCAGAAAAGATTCCTAGTGCCGAAAGAATGTTCTGTATTGGATTCAGCCAGATGGGCTATGAGCCTTTCAATATGGATCTTTCACTTGCTGGGAAGTACAAGTACAGAATAGGCGATGTTTATAGATCGATAACCCCAGCAGTGATGAAGGGGGCAAAGCCGTTCGACTACGAAAGATTTAGTCGAATAAGCTATTTGTAGCACAATAGTCATAGTTTGATGAGACAGGCGAGCTCTGATGCAACATTAAAGATCTTATATCATTTAATTTATTCTATTTATGATTATGTTTTCCTATACTGGGTCAAAACAGGATAGATGTTGTCAAATGCCTCATATATGTCCTCACGCACCTTGGCCCCAGTCAAAACTATCTTCCCACTTACAAAAATCAGAAGAACAATCTTTGGCTTGACCATCCTGTAGATCAGTCCGGGAAAAAGCTCTGGCTCATAGGAGCAGAAGTTAGAGTGGGCATATGCCAGACCTTCGAGCTTAATACAAAATTTGAGGTCACAGGAAGAGACAATATTTTGTATTTTGAAATCAGTAAATTGGGCATTGAATCCCAGCTTACTGATTATTTTTGCATAACGCTGTGAAGCCATTTTCGAGGCCTTTTCTGATTTTGCACCCGTCACAACCATCTTTCCCGACGCAAAAATAAGCGCCGTGGTCTTTGGATCTCGTATTCTCATAATTACAGCTGCGAAACGTTTGGGGTTATATTCTGCATTTCTAGCGCGGAGCGCAATACTTCTAAGATCCAGTTTGCAATTTAGATTAACGGTTGCCACTACATTCTGCAAGACAGGTGTGATTCCAGTGCGTTGTAAGTGGGTTTGTTTTGGCTCTGGGGTATAGCCAGGATCATCCATGGGGTATTTAGAAGAAAAAAATTTTGGAAGAACGAAGAATAACGCGAATCTTTGAGTTGTAGGCAGATTAAAAGGGAACTGGCACACTGTATAGACATTTTATTCACTGTTTTAGCACTTTTATCAGTAGTTTCTAGGTCATTTGAAGTCAGGACGATACTCAAATAGCAAAATACGAAAAACAAGAACAATCCATCAAAATAGGGAAAGTACAGGCAAATAACACTTAAAGAACCAAACACGAAACAAGCAACACATCCCAAATCATAGAGATAGATTTACTGGTTGCACCCTGGCATTAGAATCTGCAAGCATTTCATTAACACTCAAAACTCAGCCAAAAACATTGTAAAACCCCAGCTTTTCGCACACTTTCACAACTGTTTCGTGGGAGATGTTTAGTTTGTATGACTCTCCTGTCTTAGTGCAAAATTTATACCTGCACAGCAGGTTTAACTCACTTTTAATGACGAACATGTTCCTAAGTTCAGGATCCACTTGCTGTACCTCCTTGCAGATGCTCTTGAGCTTGCACTCTTTGATCATACACAGTATGATGACAGATTGCACATAGTTTAGTGAATCTGCAGTGAACCCTGCAACATCCAGGTCATTAGATGAGAGCGATGTTGCCGAATAGCTTTCACTTGACGATTTAAGCACAAAACGGTTTTTAACAAAGCTTCCCTTTTCATCATTGGAAAGTATAAATTTATAGGGAATAAATGTGAAATCTCTCATGTTCGAGTACAAAATTATTCTCGGAGCATTAAGAACAGACGAGCCATCATTTAAAAGCAGATGAATTTCGTTCTTTGACAGCGCCTTGCTTGTAAATCCCTTTATAAACTTTATATTTTTGGAAAGCAGAAACTGTTCAAAGATTTCGATGGACTCAAACGAAAACACTTGTATTCTAAATGCTTTTTCATTTCTCAATATGCTCACAAGATTTTCTCTTTCCTCAAAGACCGGCTTTGGTTTCTTTTTGATTGAAATGACCGGAAGACTTTTTTTCTTAGATGCACTTGGCATTTCAGTGGGGTACTTAAGAATAGCTGATACATTCTTTTAATATCATAAATTGTAAGCAGGTTAGACACAGGACATTTAAGAATTGGAAAAAATAATTTACTGATAAGAGGAAGACTCGCTCTGCCAGCTGCAATTTAAGAGAAATAAAAAGCATAACTCTCCAGGTCCCTGGCAGTCCAGATAAAGAAGAGTTAGTAGTGCTTAGGACGTGTGCATTACAAAAAATTTACCCTGGAATAGACTTCAGCACAAGTCTTTCTCTGCTTGTTAGCAAATCGACTGCCTCTCTAGATGTGCCCATACTTCTTCATAAAATTATACTTATTTTCACTCCATTCTTCTTCTACTTCTTTTTCTTTATCCTTATTATATTGGATTATCTCGTCTATTCGTCTTATAAATCTCTCTAGAATTTCCTTTTCTTCCATTGGCACTCTATCTGTCCAAGGGACACCAGCAATCATCATGAAATGACCACAGAGTCTGTTAAAATAGCTGCAAGAAGACAAACGCAAAATGAATGTCTTTGCACGTACGAATTTGCCATGCGTTATCACATGCCAGCTACTTTTGCCCTTGTTTATGCTCATTGAAGCTCTATGTAGGTACCAAATAGAAACAAACCGTGAGAGTTTTCCAATCTCGAATGTTGGATTTAAAAAACTCACCGATCCTATGTGTGAAAATGACTGGCTGGTGGCTCTAGAACATAAAATACACATGTTTTCCGGTAGAATTATGTATTTCAATACTTCAAGCACAATCGACACGCATAGAGTATTTTCAATTGAAGAAACAATCACAAACAAACATATAGAATTTCCATTCACTGTCGGTACCTTTGATAGTGTCTATCCATGCACTGATATATTTGCTATAGAGCATCCTGACAAAAAGCATAATGCCAGCATGCATCATATTATTGTGTTTGAATTTGCAGTCAACTTGACTAAGGAAGAAGCATTAAAAGAGGCAAAGAGAATGCAGCCAGGACTATATTTTAAAAATGATGTGTTGACATCATCCCGGTGGCCTACACATAACAGAAATAGCCATTCCCAATACATTATTAGAGCATTGGATGGAGACATCCCTGTTGACATTTCTGTATTGAAGAGAGAGAATGTGACAAGAATGTATTTCAATGCAAACACAGTCGAACTAGATCTATCCCAGTACAGTCAAGACAACATTCTAAGCAACGATATTTTTGGTGGCGATGCGTCTTCGAGCCATGAAAACAGCACTTTTTGCTCAGATAATTTACAGCTAAAATCTACGGTTGAGATAATCAATCAGATGGAAAATATTAAAATTTTTGATAATGAAAGTGCTAAGATTGGCAGAGCTGATCAAAGACACACACATAGCAGCAACGAAGATGCCAGTGTTCTTTTTGAACACTCAAATGACAGTGGATACATTACTCTGATAAAAGCATTTTTGAAAGATGAGCGAGTTTTCAATTGGTCAAAATACAATTTCATAAGGCATTGCATAATTCAGAGCGTTGACACTCTTTACTTTATATTTTTCAAGGTCAAAGATACAGTAACCGTGGTGCTTTCGAGAAGACTATACAACTACATCGCACTATACAATTACATAATCAGTAGTGAAGGTATTAATACAACATTGCTAAATGTGCCTGATTTAAATGTTGAAAATAATAGTGAGAATAATGGAAGTGCCAGTTTAATAGAAGGTGATTCTAGTAATACATTGAATTTTAAATATAAAATACCCGACTTTGACTGTCTAAGCCAGGCCGAACTAATCACAAAGTACAGTGCCATTGTTTTGGAGGAAAACACCTATTCCTTTTGGTTTTTGATAAAACTAAAGGAAATACTTCATCCGTTTAAATTTCCAGGTCTTGTTCTCTCTCCAACAATTCGAAATATGGAGTATTTGTTGAATGGACCATACCCATTCCTGGTGACCTCAAAGGAAGAAATACAATTGGATGGCAAGTTGGTATTCACTTGCTCAACACCCATTCCTACTAGCACAGTCAAGAAGAGACGTTGCCGTTCATCTGTAAACACAAAGGGCAAGTCCAGCAATGTGTCGATGAAGTCTTTGACTGGAAGACTGGGCAGGACAATCTCAGGCACAATTTCAGGGTTCACAAAAAGTACTAGTCGAAGCAAAAGCATTTTAAATAAGAAAGGGGAGTATATCCATTATCTTCTCTCAAACAAGAAGAAAATCGAGCATTTTCCAACAGTCTTTCATGCAAGTACGCTGCTAGAACAGTACTTTGTCAACGAGCCCAAGAGGTATCCAGTGGACTATATTTTTAATATTGTAACAGGGAATGTCAGTTTTAAAAGAGGTAACTTTCTGAATCTGAGCGACGCAGTCAGTCTTTGGATGATGATATATCCAGGAAAGATAGATTTGGAATGCTTAATAAGGAAAAGATGGATAAACTTAGAATACTTATGTAGAAGGGCATGTATAGATTGCGACGTCTCAATGCTTAGAAGGATAATAGAGAAAGCTGAGGGAAAAGCGAGTGGAAAAACCAAAAAACCTTTATTTAAAATTAGAATGAGCAAAAGATATAGAATTTACAGAATGTTAAGAAGAATATGTAGCAAATACAGACATAAATGTCTACTTGACGTTCTCCAGAGTATTTATGCAGGCTCAATTCTAAGAATCAATTTAAGTTTGAATGATGGTGTCAGGATTAGAGAGGGCCAGTTATATTCAACAGCAATAGAATATAAAGGCAATGCATATAGATTAATGAGAATTGAGGATATCATTTCGTGTGTTGAGTCGAAGTATCACAGTGAGCAGATTGATGCTAGCATTATTGCCTATCTCACACATTTCAACCTGCCTTTTTACGACAGTAAATCGGATTCTCAAAATGGGCATGCTAAACAGTATAAGAGAAATGGTGAAGATTTTAAAGAAGAGAGTGTAAATTCACTCAAAAAATGTGATGGTTTGAAAGTATATGTCTAGTTTGTCTTTTTCTCTCAACCCTCTCGGTTTTTAATAGCTCCGATTTTTGAGCTGCTGAAAAATTTTCAAAAATTTTTGGCCCAATGTTCGTCTCTGCGGAAGAACTCAGAGCCAAGTCCTACGAGGAACTTCAGGAGGAACTTGTTACCTTAGAAAGGGCCTACATGGCTATGCGCCAACAGGAACATTCAAAAACAGCCGAAAGAGAGGAAATTAGAGAAGCAAAGAAGAATGTTGCAAGATGCAAGGCTGTGATGAGAGAGAAGAAGCTTAGAGAGCTTGTAGATCAATACAAAGGGCAGACAAATCTGCCAAAGCAGCTAAAGCCAAAGCTTACCAAAGCATTGAGGATGCGGCTTACACCAGCTCAGAAGAATAGGAAGACAAGAAGCCAGAAGATTCATGCCAGGAAGTATCCCCAAAGGATATTTTCATTTAACAATTAAAACAGTTAATTAATTTAAGCATCTTTAATGTGTATTGCTAGCAACTCTTACATTATTAGCTCTTGTTTGGGCATTTCTTCAATGCATTGGTTTTCAAGATTCTATGTTTGGAAAGTTTTTATCTCTAAGAATTACCATTCTCGTTTTTACTGTTTCTCCTCATGCTGCAGTTTGGATGGGGGTCTCTAGCAATGTGTTTCTAATTTTCCTTACCCTTAGTTCAAAGTTGAATGTCACAGGAATTTTCAGCTAATGCGCTACTTACAGGAGCGCAAGTATTCCAGGGAAGTAAGGCAATACAGAAGAACGCTGATGCTGTAATGTGGATATACAACAGTATAAAGACTTCCTATGGCCCATATGGTTTGGACAAGATGTGTGTGGATGCCAGTGGATCTGTTTCTATTACTAACGATGGAGCCTCTATTTTGAAGAATATGCTTGTGGATGATCCTGCAGCAAGACTTATGGTAAATCTAGCACTGGAGCAGGACAAGGAGGTGGGTGATGGCACTACTTCTGTGGTTATCCTTGCTTCTAATCTCATTAAGAAAGGACAAGAGATAATCTCAGAGGGCGTGCATCCCTCTACCGTTGTCTCAGGATACAGATTAGCGTTCAACGAGAGTATGAAGTACATCAAGGAAAGAGTATCAAGAAAAGTTAATATTACGGATTCAAACATGATTAGGAACATTGTGGACACATGCATTTCCTCTAAAATAATCTACGGGGAAAAGGAGCTATTTACTAGTATAGCACAAAGCTGCCTGGAATGTGTATCTGAAAATGGAAGATACGAGGTTGACAGAGTAAACATCTTGAAATCAATTGGTGGATCAATGGGAGAATCCCAGTTCTTTGATGGATACATTCTGAACTGTTCTGTTGCATCCCAGCTTATGGCCAAGAGACTTAAGAATCCAAAAATAACATGTCTGGATCTTTCTCTGCTGAAGGAAAAGTTACCTTTGACAGTCAATATTCAGGTAACTGATCCTGAAAAACTAGAGCAGATACGAGCAGAAGAGATTGGAATGACAAGGAGAAAATGCCAAGCAATCATAGACTCTGGTGCTACACTAGTGTTGTGCACTGGGGGAATAGACGAGATGTGTATCAAAATGTTTATTGACAATGGTGTTATTGCTGTTAGAAGGGTTGATGGGGATGATCTTACAAGCATAGCTATGGCATCAGGCACAGAAGTGAGAAAATCAATAGTTGATGAAAATAACGAGTATAGAATAGACTCTCTTGGTAGCTGTGAGGAGTTCGAGGTTAGAGCCATTGGAGAGTATGAGCTGTGCTACTTTAGCGGATTCTCCAATAAGCTTCCGACAGTGCTGATTAGAGGACCCAATGCACAGATTGTAGACGAAGTTCAAAGATCACTGAACGATGCCATCCAGATCCTAAAGAGAACCTTGGAATCCAGGAGCGTAGTGCCTGGTGGTGGTGCCGTGGAATGTGCTTTGAGCTTTCTACTAGAGGATTTTTCCACAAAGGTTAATATTAAGGAGCATGTGGCTGTATATAAGTATGCCGAGGCCATACTTGAAATACCAAAAATCCTTGCTACGAATGCAGGCCTGGATGCGAGTGTGCTGGTTTCCAAGATGCTAGGAATGCAGTTTGAGCAGTACGAGCAAGGAAATTTTGATAAGTTTTTTGGACTCGATGTTGTAAAGGGAGATGTCCAGGAAAATTTTGTGAATGGCATTTTAGAGCCAACGGTCTATAAGCTTAAGGCTTTGAAAGCTGCAACTGAGGCTGCGATCAGTGTACTGAGAATCAATGAGATTGTTGTATTCCCAAGTAACCAATAAACTATACCCATTTGTGTTTTGGTATTACTGGCTGCTGTGATGACATCCATTATTTTTTCCTTAATTTGTCCATATGGTGCTATTTCAGATTTTGATAGCAGGCCTTCTTCGTAATATAGTACAGCAATTAAATTGCTGAGCCATAAATGGAGATTTGATGCTAAATCCTCAGGTTCGAATTCTCTAAAAGCTCTTACTCCACTACCTAAGCTAGCCAGTACAGGTCCACCGCATCTATTTTGGTTTTGACTAATGCGACAATGATCGGTATGCTTAGGCGGGATGGCCAATCTAGTCTAATTTGCAATCGAGACATTATGCCTGCGACTTAACAAAACCAAAAATTCAAAGTCAGGCACTTTTCCGTAGTAGTCTGTAGCCCTTTTTTATTGGATCTACTGTATGTTGTAATTTACATCTTCTTCTATTTTTCGCTTCAAAACAGAGGAATATAGAAGAGAATTATCATTGTACTGCAAAATGGTACTCGAGAGGCTTGGGCTCAATTTTTAAGCCACTTGCCGAGATAATTACACAATGGCAATCTTATCTATCTTCTGTGGAACAAACCATTTTAAAAGTTTTTAATCTTTATTGAACTTTATTTATAACAATAGACGAACCTAGACAAGAGTCATTCAGAGATATTTATTTTGAGACATTGCACATGCTTTACCTAAGCCGCATATCAGATAAGTGGCATTCGTGTAAAAGAATAGAGGCAAAAGTGGAGATTTACGGCATGCTATATCCACCTAATATGGATATTGCAAGCATATAAATGGTAAGAGTTCAACTTGAATGAGATACATGCACCGCTCAGACTTAGTATTTCTTTATCATGCTTCTAAATTAATTGTGTTGGCATTGCTTACCTGCAGTGTCTTTTTAAATAGCGTGTAAACCGGAACAGACAGTCCATGAATCAAAATGCTCAGAAATACAGTACATATTCCATAGTCTATTGTAAGGGTGTCCACCTTCTTGTCATACAGTAAGCAGTAGTACAAAGCACCCACTCCGACAGGACCAAACCATCCAATAAAAAGAGCCTCTTTCGTATTCTGTATGAGAGGAACAGTTCTATATGATAAGAGCAAAATTAGCGGTCTTCTAATAATAATTATAAGTGCGCACACAAATATCATTCTGAGTGTAAATCTGTCAAAATCAATGAGGGATCCAATAAAGATAAATAAAACCTTACAAAATGTGCTCTCAACAATCTCTGCAATTCTGTTTGAGGATCTTTCAAGAGTATACCATTCATCTTCATTAAGTCCAATTCCCACAAAAAATATACAAATAAGCTCAGAACCGTCCAGAGAGTCCATAAGGGCCATACAGAAAAAACACAAACAGAACGTCTGAATCCCAATCATCTCAGAGCTGATAGACCCAAGACTGCAGCTATACTTGGATATTTTCTGGACTCCTTGCCCAATAATATACCCCAGCACACCAGACAGGACAACCTTGTTTCCCAACGAATATATGAAGAAATTAAACAATCCGTTGAAAAGTTTAGGATTTCTGAGTATGTCAATACTAATGCTCAGCATTAAAATGCCGAATCCATCGTTAATTCCTGACTCTGCACTAAGGAGAAGTCTCAGCTTTTCTGAAACGTTCTTCTTGGCAAATTTACCTTTTATTATGCTTGAGCTAAGAATAGGATCAGTTGGAGTAAGCGAGGCAGCAGTAGCCCAGCAGGCCGAGTTGTCCAAAAAAGAAAACATCTTCAAAATGACGAATGTTAGTGTACACTTAAGGAAGCCTATAAGGATTACTAAGCAGAATATCGATCTTGAGTAAGTGAAGATATATCTCCTGGGGAGGGAAAGAGATACAACCATGGTTTGGAGGCAAAGCACGATTCTTGATGCAATGGACACCACATGCTTTGAAAAGATATAGTGTGGTAGCAACAGCTTTAGGCCATGCTTACCTAGTAGCAGTCCATACAGAAGAGTAAGAATTGGGGTTGGCACATTGTAGTTATCCTGGACAAACTTGGACACCATTGAGTAAAACAGAACAAATATGGAGGAGGCCATTAGCAGTTTCATTACATCATTCATAGCTTAATGGGAGCTGGATAGTAGAATTAACGAGAAGTATTTTGAAACAGGGTTTTACAAAGGTGGTGATGGTGGTTTGAGAAGCTTGATGTGAAAATAGACATGAAACACAAGACAATAGTGAGAAGGCTGTCTAAGCGTGTATGCAGTATAGTACTGCAAAAATGAACATAAGCGTATCGTCGAGTGTCGATTAATATGAACTACAATTGTATATGATCTAAATACCACAAAGGCTATTGAATGATGCTTATTAAATAGATGCAAGACTATTATTAGACTTCTTGGATACCCCACAATGAGAGGATCTGAGAAGCTCAAAGCAATACTTGAGACCAATCGGGGAACCCAGTCAATTCTTATAAAATGTCTGGTGGTCTACAATCTCCTTGCTCTATTTATGTATTGGCACAAGAAGGCTTCTTTTTTTGCTTTTCTCCTTCTTTCCACAGCCGAAGTCGTGGCCACTGTCTTTATCTTTAAGTTTTGTAAGCCAAAGATTGTGTACGAGGAACAAACTAAAAGACTCGTAGATGTGACCTCAATCAATGCGCCCGGGCCTGTTTCCTTCTGCTGGGATGTTCTTTTCTGGGCGATGGTTGCCAAGATACTTACAGTGTTTAGTTGGAAGTGGATGTGTGTTTATCTTGGAATATTCATTTCATTCTTCTTTGAATTCATTTACAGACCGTATAAAAAACTAAAAACAGGTGACCAAAGAAGATGATTTTCTAGTAAAAATTAAATACAAGATCATACAGTTTGTGAAAATTGCATCGTTGATTTGTATGCTTTCAAAAATTTTAAAAATTAATTTCACAGTAAAAATGAAAGAATGCACATTTCCAAATATAGCTAAGAGTTTTACCCGTTTCTTTTAAAAGATGTATTGATTAATATAAAGTAAAAGAGCATTGAGTCGATACAGCTCTGGGAGTGATGTCAAATACCTGCAGAAAAACGTAGACATAAGCCCTTAGCTTTAATGATTCGGCAACTGGCTTGTATGGTACAACTATTATAATAGATTGAAGTATTAAAGCTACTTGGATAGCTAAGAAGTTGCACACATTCGGATGTTGTGGCATGTGAAAATACTTCTGGAAGGGACCTAAGTGATTTACTAGACATATGAATAGAAATGTGCTGATACAACATTAGGTATTTTTAGATCAGCTGAAGGCTGAGTAGAAGGTGTCTAAGAAAAGATGATAGGGATCATGGAAGAGATTAAAAATCGAATAGATAAACCAAAAAGAAAACCATAAACAGCCACATAGACAGTTAGAAGAGGTATCAGTATTGGAAAAGCCGTGAAAGAAATCAAACATCCGATAAATTTTTATTTTGATAGGTCTATTTTTAAATGAAAATTTTTTATCTAATCCTCATGATCAAATCAAAGTTCAAAAGAATGGCTAATGTAAATAGCACGTATCGCCTTTTGCTAGCCATTTTCACCTTATCAATGATTAGTGCAAGTATGAATGAAGAAGAGCCAGCACCAGATAGCGTTTTCCTAGCCCAAGCGGGCCAGACGGGGGATGAGTTGAGAAGACCTGAGGAGATTAATCAAGATACGAGTAGTGATACCGAAGAGGATATAGAAACTATCAGAGACGTACAGCTGGAGCTTGAAGACTTAACTTTATCCTTGGATGGTGCAGAAAACGAAAATTGGAATGATGCGATCATGTCAGACTCAGATGGTAGCTATGATAGTAATGCATTTGAAAGGTGCATAGAGAATAAAGCTGCATTCTTCATCAAACAGCTAAACAAATTGAGCAAAAATTTCAATGATGTGCAGACGAATTTGGACACAGCAGAAGTTGAGCCAGCTGCTGCAAGCAACCAGAAGCAGCCTCATTTGCCTAGAGCCAATCCAAGAACTGAATCTATTGGAAGTACACTAGACATCCAAAACTCTACAGATGTACCAACTAGTTATTTTGATTCGATGTTTAGAAAGTGGTACGGGTATATTCGTATGGCAGCAGATAGATACCGTGTAGCTGAAAAAGAAGGTGATGAGAAATCTAAGCGGATGCTAGGGCAAGAAATCTTGAAAGGCATCGAACTTCTGCGTAAAGTAATTCAAGATATTAATGAGTATTGTTGTAAAAAACTAATGTCTGATCTGGAGGGTGATTTAACTGATTTGCTAAGAGACGGGCTAAAAGTTGTTTTAAAAAGAGTAAGCTCTGAAGTCGAACATGAGTTAGAGCATTATAAAGACGAGCAACTGATTATATTTGTCATCAGTATATTTAGTCAATGGTACAGGCTTCTAGATGGACTAAAAATGGAATGGAAAGAGGCTAATGAAAGTGAGGATGAAATAGCCATCCAAAGAATTAGAACAACCATTGAGACTACAATTGAAAACGCAGGCAAACGTGTATGCAAAAGATTGAACAATGCTCTTGACAAGTTGGAACGGGAATGGGAAAGTGAACTAAATAAACAATAACATTTAAGCTTCAGTGTTGAGTTTTTATCTAAAAGTGGTATTTGCCAAACATCCGCTTTTTGTAGGAAAGTTAAGCACTCTTAAAACTTTAGCAAATTCATGCATATCCAACGATATTGTGCAGCCGAATATCGCCTGCAAACAGTGCTACCTAGGCTGACTAACTGTAGACAGAACAGGCGGTTTTCTATTTAACAAAAAAAAGAAATATACTCTCAACCTAAACCAAGAATCATTTACTTGATGCTTTGGGAGTCTTTTTGTGAGCCACCGTCTTGTCCTTCGAATTGAGATCATCAAATGACATGTCCTGGGCCTGGGTATACTCCATTCCCACCGGGCACACCTTAGAGTATCCAGTATTATCAGCAATGGTCATTTTGAATCCATCCTTTTTGAGGGAATTGAGGGTGCTAAGAGTATCTTTCAATGCTGGATTCCCAACAATATTTGCTTCAACAATCTCCACCGCCCTGAGAATTACACCTTCAATGCAGTCAACATTAGAATTGATTGTACTGAACGAGAACGCCTTTTTATTATTGTGGTAGAAGGTTACCTCGGAATTGTGGTTGACAAACGCCATTCTTCTGATATTGTCTGGAAGAGTAGACTTGTCCGTAAAATCACATGTTATACTCACTCCATAATCCAGGGCTTCAATGTCTTCTTCTGCGGTTTCGTTCAGGCCACAGCCCTTGCATTCTGTATATGAAATGCGCTTGTAAGGCTTTGTCTCTCTGACAACAATGCTCCTAACTGTTGCTTCTTTCTTGCATTCTGGACAGATAGTCTTTACTACTTCTTCTTTCTTAATGGCCGGCTTCATTTTTGCGGTAAAAACAAAACACGTTTTAATAAAATAAGCTGAAACTAAAAGCAAAACATAAATGTTTTCTTTTCAAAACAATCTAAATTTCTTTCGGAATTTATCAAATGACTTGTTTTGGAACAAATCTACAGGAGCAGTTGCAATGCAGGTAGGGATTTGTCTATTTTCAAGCCAAAGATGATACTTAACTCCAAATGAATCAAGGCCTTCCATTATAGAGCACATGTCCTTTTCACCAATTCCATATACAACTGTGGTCATATCTTCAAGAAGGCCGAGATAGTCCATTGTTCCTGTGTCTTCTTTAGACTTTTCTATTGCAGCAATCGCGGCATGACAGCCCTGGGCTACAAGAGCGCCAGTGCTGAAGTCTTTGAGATCCTTGCGTAGAAATAAGAACTGCTTTACATGATTATCTTCTGGCTTTATTTGATTTAGATTTGTCGGTGCTTGATTTTTGTTGTGGCGATCAATTGCTCGCTATGGTTCATTCCTGGATAGGACTGGACGTGGTTAGGCTTTAATAAATAGAACAGCAGATAGATGCCACTATAGTCAAATATTCTTTTTATATACAAACAGTCTAAGTAATCTCCAAAATGCTTTCCCCAAATGGACAGAATAATGCATCAAATATTTCTTTTGAACAGGCACATGTTGTTTTTCATGAAGGAAAACATACTGCCGATTTCCATTCTAGTAACACCACTCACAATCTACTTTGTCTTCAAAAAGTCGAGAAGAATGACTAGTCTTGATCATTTGCCTCGCAGGTTCAAAAGCTTTGAATTTAAAGGCATTGTCACAAAGGTTGGGGATGGGGATGGATTCAAGGTTGTACACATGCCCCTTTTGAGATTCAAATCCAGTATCAAGGGTATAGAGCCACTCTCGATACGGCTTGCCGGGATCGATGCGCCTGAGGTGAGATTCTTCGACAGGCCTGAGCAGCCCTTTGCCAAAGAGGCAAGGGAGGAACTGAGAAGGCTGGTCTTGAACAAAAAGGTTAAAATTAGAGTGCTGGATATTGACCATTATCGAAGAATTGTAGCAATGGTGTTTGTTCGGAAAAATACCTTTCAAAATCTAAATGTGAATTTAGAAATGGTAAAGAAAGGGCTGGCCTGTGTGTACGACAGTGCCAAAACATCATTTGGAGGGCTTAAAAGTAGATTTATTGAGGAAGAAAAGAGGGCGCAAAAGAAAAAACTGGGAATTTGGAGCGACCCATCATTCATTTTGCCTAGAGAATTTAAGGAGAAACACCGAATGAGGTAGAAGAAAGCTGGTAATTAAAACATAACTACATAAACACCTCAATTTTATATTCAACAAGGTTATAAAGAGGTGTAATTTATTTTTAGACAGTGTGTCCAGTAAAAAGCGTTACAATGCCGTCAGAAGAGACAATAATAAGGCCCTTGGTATTAAAACAGATGAAGCTATCAAGCTCCATTGGATTTCGAAGTGGTATTATGTCTGTGGCGTAGAAGAGGTCAGTGACGGTGCACACTGCTATCGTGTTGAACAGCAGGGCTACGTCCTTACTCGGAAGGGAACACTTTACACTTGATACTACACTGCCCATCTTCCCATCTATAGCCTGTATTGAATCGTTGAGAATCAGGAATATGTCATCACCTTTAATCTTTACAATCGGAAACCTGCTTCTTCCAAGGATTGCAGTCTCTGCATTAAGCCGTATGTCGTACTCCGCTATTTTCGATGCATCAATCGTTAATAATTTATTTGCTACACACTCGATGGACAATGCCTGTACAGACTGTGACACCCCTGTGCATACCCCAAGAAAAGTAAATGACTTTATGGTATTCATTTCATCAAAAATATACAATGTGTCATGGCTGATACAAAACGATTTGAAAGGAGAGTCAAATTCAAATATCTTGATATCACTTTTCTCTGCATTTTCATATTTGCACAAGCGTATTGAATAGTCCTCAGAGGAATATGCCATGTAAATTGTGCTTTTAACTTCCTTTACTCTCAGTAGCTTTAGACATCTCTGCGAGATTTGGAAGTCGTATTCAATCTCATTTGTGCTGAGATTGTAGAAATAGAAATGAAGATCCGAGGAAAAGACAATAAGAATGTTGTTGAGGGGGCAGAAATTTGAATGTATGAGTGCACTGATCCCTAGATCTATCTTCTTGTATTCTGTAAGGATCGGCGAAGACGATGGAGGAGCCGGATGTATTGTTGCAGTAGCAGGACTAGACGAAGCAGAGTATGGATCATTGGGCATCCCATTCATAACCCTAGGATCGATTGGTCTTCTCATCATGTGCTGTGGTTTGCCTGGAGGACTCCTTAGCCTTGCATATCTCTGTTTTTCATTTTCTAACTTGAGCATTATTCCCTCAATCCTGTTAAGAGTGTCCGGAGACATTTTCTGTCCAGACCGCACCTCAACAGTCTCGAGAAAGTTATTGTACCACAAGCTAAGCATGGGCTGAGAGTCCGCTATTTTATATTCGGCAATCCCTGTTTCCTCCTTAAACGAATTTGCAGTTTTTTGAAAGTCATTTTTTAGGAGATATTCGTAAATCAATAGGTTGAGAGAGTCTTTCCTGTCATCCTCCCTTGGAATCATCGGGGTCTTTGGGATGTGGAAGAATTGTTGGGAGATAAAATATAGAAAAAAAGAAATGAAAATGGGCCAGAAAAACAACGAATGAACATCCCATGTGAACTAGTGCTACCATTCTAGGGCTTTTACCATTTCGTGTTGCTTTTGGCATAAAATAAATTCCATTTAAATGAAAGACAAAAAGGCGGATCAAACCAAAACCACCGGTCAAGTTTTGAAATGATTTGAATAGCCGATTATTTTAAAGCGCATTCTATGAAGTAGTAAAATATGCTTTTATCAGCTTATAAAAATTAAACGCAGATACTAAAAGTTCATTTAGTGCAAATATGCGAGTACAGTGCACCACAGCTTGATGTTTTATGACATGCTACCTAGCGTTTTATTTGTTTATACAGATTTTTAATCATAGTGTCAAATCCATCAATCGCTCAAGGAGATGATGAGGAAAATAGATACCAGCAGTAGCCTAAGGCAATGCAGATATAAATAGATTTTCTGCTCGCTACTCACATTCAAAATAAAGATTTGGTATTTATTTTGACATTGGCCATAGCACATTACTACAGGCCAATAGCTGAAGCACAGAGTAAATTATGCCACTTGACTTTTCTATGCTCATATTTCCAATACTTCTTAGTATTTTTGGACCCAGGATATGGAGAATGAAGAGGAAAGTGGGGAAAACGGAGAGAGGCAAATGCGTGAAGAAAATAGGAGTGTGCATGATGTCCGCGAGGAGAATGGAAATGTCCAGAGTAGTATCCAAGAACAGCCACCTACCCGAAGCAACGAAGAAGGTAGAAGTGCACGGCAGTTATGGAGCCTTACAGTTAACTTTTTGGCAGATAAGAGTTCCATTATTTCACTGCTTTTTTTACTAGTTAGTTTGATACAATCCTATTTGCAAATCAAAAAATTAAGGGAAGAGTTCTTTGAGATATTTTCAGACAAGCTCAACCAACAACAGTAAACATTAACAATGACGTTTGGAGCAAAACACACTTCTCTTAAATAAGTCACCATCTTTGCTGCAGTGTGTTGCTTTTGGCAATAAACGATGGCTTATGAGCGCAGCTTGATATCAAACTATCTGTGACAGCATGTCCAATACAAACATTCCATTTGATTAAATATTGGAAAGTCAAGCCAAGCATGAGGTATTTTATTAGCCACCGACTCTCCATAGCCTTTTATCATCCAGCATTTTTGTGTTCATCGTCTATCGCTAATAGCACATGCTTATGCAGAGTTTAGTATTTACTGCTTAATTTGTTTGTTTTCTGATTCCTATGAATAGTATTGCAAACATGAAAAGAATCATCTTTCTCCAAGGATTCCTCTTCGCAGCAGTCCTCTCGTTTGCATACATCAGTATCTTCAGAAAAAGACGCGACTTTCCAAGGTTCCTAGACAACTATCTGCAAAGCAGGCTTGATGAGATTATCAATAAAGAGAGGAGTCAAAAGCTGGAATAAACACTTAAACATTACATTACAAATGTGGTCTACTCGGCCAACCAGTATTTAGTGTTCAATTATAGTTATATTGTGGTCTATGCGGTGCATCCTGGTAGGGTTAATCTATTTTTCTCCGCTCATAACCCATGTACCCACTCACGCTCATAAGAATGTCAAGGGGCAAAGTAATCACAATGATGTTGAAGGACAGTCAAGCGGTCTCAGGCTTCCTTGTGAAGTGTGATGTTGCCATGAACATGCATCTTCAAAATGCAACTATTCAAAGGAAAAGCGGAGAGAAGGTATTTGTAAAGCAGTGCTTCTTAAAGGGACAGAACGTTAAATCAGTAAAGATAGATCCAAAAATACTAGGGAAACAGCATTTATTTGAGTAAATGTAACAACAAGTTAATAACATACCATCAATATTTGCTTAGATAGTCAGTATTTGCTAGTCCTTTGTTTTGACTTTTTTATCTTTTTCTTCCTATGCATCTTTTGTACATGCCTCAGCCAACTAAACCTGTAGTTCTTTTTGGAGGATCCAAGACAAATCCATTCCTCACATTCTGTGCAGTATCCTTGAGTTAGCCCACTGGCTTCTTTCAGTTTGGGCATTGGATACTTCTCTCCCTTGCAGTTTATGCCATGCTTATAATTCATATGGTACCAATAGCTGCTATTTTTCATATTATACCACTTCTCACAATACTCACAGTATCCTTCTCTTTGCGAGCCTGTTCCTCTTATGCGCCTTGGAGAATAGCTGTTCTGGGGTTTTCCTCAGTGACCTCCCTGAATTCAAACAGCTCATCGAACGTTGAGGAGTCTAGAATGTCTTTGAGGAATAATGTGTTCCCAACGTTGTGAAATTTCATTTTGCATAAAAAGTGTAAACAATAAGTATGATTTTATGCCTAATCCAACATAATTTTAAATATTAACATATGTGTCTTTATTTCCTAGTTCTTTTTGTGTTCTTTCTTCCACGTTTCTATAAGCCTATCTTTTCTTCTGAATGACTCCATTAAAAACTCTTCTGATTTTTCTATCTCGTCTAGGCTAACAATCCTAGCATCACATTTGAATTCGTATATTTGACCAGTACAGAGAAGGTTAAGGATAGAAAAATCTTTTCTGTCACAATAAAATGTAAGATCAAGCACTTTATCGACATACGATCCTCTAAGCTCGTCCTTTATAATACTAAATCCCTTGTGTCTTGGTGTTAGGACATTAACGAAAGGCTCCATATTTTTTTCCTTGCAGAACTTGTCTGAAAGCTCCTTCTTCATGCTAGAAAATCTGCAACCCTCACAGAATAGCACAAGCCAAATGGGATATCTGTGTTTCTTGAGATCTTGAACGTATTCCACAATATTACTTCTGTCCTTTTCAAAATTTCTCTCTAAAATTAGATAGTTTAGTGCTAGGAAGCCTTGGTAAAATACAGGAACATATCGCAATGATTTTTTAAATGCGTATTTCGAGTGGGAAAACATGTGCTTGTTCACTCTGTTGATCAGGGCAAAGTCAAGAGCACTAATATGATTAGAAACAACAAGGTAATTCCCTTTTGGAATGTCCGGAACATCCATTGTAGTGCTTATCCTAAAGACCCAATCTATTATTGTCCAACATGTGTATGATGTAATTGTTGCAATTGAGTTAGACAGTCTACGATCAAAGGGGCGGGCTGCAAAGCTGCAGAGAAGAATGGGAATGCAGAGAACCATGTTGCAAACAAGCAGAACTCCAAGCACCATTTTAAAAGCCACCCTCAGATATCTTTTTGTAATGCTGTCGATGATGATATTCTCCTTATATTTGTACGCTTTCTTATGGCCATTTTTGCTTCTTTCTGGTTTATTTTGTGGAGACACATACGCTGATCGTCTCATAAAAGTTTTGGGGTTGGATGAAAAATTTTTGATATAAACAAAGGCAGAGGATTGATGAGCACAAAACACCTGGCTTTATTTTGGTTGTATATGCTTTATTGATCTGGTACAGCACCACGGCGGAGTCCAACCTAAGAAACCTTAATAAAATTGTGGAAATTATTAAAAGTTTAATTTTTTAATAAAACAAAATTGTAGCTGAGTATATCTACTGTTTTCTATGCCAAATCTTCACTTAGTGTGTATTATCACAAAATCGGTTCCGCATTTAAAATCTACAACTTCTCCAAAATAAAAATCAATCTCAGTTGGCTTCTTGATTTCATCATACTCTATTTCGTCGAAGCCAAGTTCTCCATTCAGATTGGACCCCCAGCTTAAAAGCCTTGATCCGCGCTGTGCAATGCAGAAGTCGCAGCCAGCAGCTATCTTATCAATATTTCCAATAATGAAACGAGGAGTAACCTCCATTTTTGTGCCTTCTATTCCAAGCTGGGAAAGAGTATTGTCGCCACAGCCAAAGACCTCATTACTGTTCGTGAGAAATATTGTGTGTGTAGACCCACATGCTACACTCTTCACATTATCCAGTAGAACTATTCTCTTTTCCTCTGAGGAGGTTGTATCACCAACGCCAAGCTGGCCGTTAAAATTGGATCCCCAACCAAAACATTCAAAATCCGTGTTAATTGCCATAGAGTGGGATCCACCACCTGCTGCTTTTGTAAACGAAAAGTTTGCATTTCTCTTCATTTTGGATGAAACCTGAAAGGGTTCAAGACATCTCTTAACATTTCTAGCACGGTGGATTCTACCCAGCTGTCCTTGCTCATTTGCACCAACTGTCCAGAGATTATTATGCCCATCCGTCATTATTATGTGGTTCTGTCCCCCGAAAATCTTTTTGATATTCCTTAAATTTTTAATTCTTTTAAAAGTAGGCTGGAATTTCGTGGTTGAATCAAATCCAAACACACCGGATGTGCTTTTAAATGTGCCACAGGCAAATACCTGTCCTCTTTCAGTTAGAATTGCGGAATATGAAGCGCCGCAGCAAATATCCATGATCTTCTGGGTAATTGCAACAGGTGTAGGTGCTCTTTCGTCTCCCTCTCTTCCCAATGCACGATCATCATTCACACCCCAGCTATACAGTTCGTTGTTTTCGCACAGTATGAAAGCATGCAGCTTTCCAGCTGCAATTTTTACAATGTTTTTGTTTCTGAAGAATGGCTGCTCGATAGGCCTGTTTGTGGATGACAAGTCTTGATCTAATCCTAGCTGGCCCATTAAATTTGATCCAAGAACAAATAAAGGCATGGGCAAGTCTTTTTTAAAATTTTTGTAATTTTGAATGGCGACACATAATGAATGCTGGAAGAGTTAAACATAAGGGCATTTAATTAATAAATGGCTATTTGTAAACCAAATCAACACAGAACCGGCATAGTTCAATAGCTCATTCAAAGCATTAATAAATTCATTCAACAGTATCCTCTGTTTTCTCTCCAACTCCTTCGCTTGAGGAGGATTCTCTCACTGCTTGCCTTTCATCTATCGTGGTAGGGTTTCCAGTAATTAAAAATGCCACGTGCTTCTTGTTCTTTCCTATCGACTTGATTTTTGCGTCGTTAATGTTGAAAACATCCTCGCCGTACTTGTATGAGAAACTCTTGACTAAAGTAGGCTTTAAATCATTTTTCATAGAATCACATACCTTCTTGAACATTAGATTCGTACCAGACTCCGCCCCTATCTGTTTCTTTACAGGCTTCCTCACACCACCTACACTAATGGTTGGCGCAAAGATTTGTGATTTTCTATCCATGGGGTAAAATTTTGCATGACTATAGGAATTGCAAAACTTGACACTAAAGTCTACAATCTCCGATAGCAGCAGGCCAGCATTGCCAATTATCTTTTAAATGCACGGTAGCGGAGAATTTTCCGGTCGGAAGTCAAAGCATATTTTTCATGGTCCCATGAAGAAGATTGACAAGACGGCAAAGCTAGGAAAAATCATTCAAGTAAAATCCGGCATATCTAGTTTTCTTACACCAGAATTTGTGGTTGTTCAGACATTTGGAAAGCCGCTGGAAAACACCATTCTGTGTGCGGACAAATTCAAGATTAAGACAGTTCTATCCAGTGAGTTGAAGAAGGATATTGTGATCTTCAGCCCCTCTACGATTGATGTGGATGAAGACTTTGTAAGTTGGATGAGATTCTACACCTACTCAGGACAAAATGTCTATGTTTATATCTTTGATTCGAAAAAACAGTGGTATATTGATGAGGTAATATGAAGCCAAACTTTAGACAGCATCAGAAGCAACCATGCAAACCAAGATGCTATAATAATAAAACATAACTGAAAGCTAGTTTAATGTACAGTCAATATGCCTTCTCTTTTGGATTTTTGGTTCCCAGCACATCAATAATCGAGTATACAAGAAAGAACATTATTGCGACTATGAAGAGACTCACAGCATAGTCCGGAACATAGTTCATCATATAATAGAATACATGGATTCCAAAGAATATAATCCTGTTTGCTTTGCTAAAAGCAATTGCAAATGCAGAGTTAACATCAATGATACTCCGCACAGGCTTAATCATTCTCCAGCTTTCGTTGTCTATGATTTCTCTTAAATTGCCTGTGCTCTGTACTTCGATCACATAGCTTTTGCCTGAGTAACGAACAATAAAGGCTGGAAATGTGTGCTGAAGAAACCTTGAACCAAGCTCAACATTTTCTGCAAAGTTTAGAGTCTTAACGGGTATGTTTAAAGTGGGTAGTACGTCTTTAAATTCTTCACAGAGTGGACAGCTGAAATCTTTCCTTTCGTAGTAAATAAACACAAGAAAAGGCTGTTTCTTCACACTATCAGCTTTACTGTGGTCTAAAGTGATGTCTTGCTTTGTTAATGGATGAATCTCTGCGGCTTTTGTGTTCAGAAGATGGATAAGCAAGAGTAACACAAACATGGGGGTGTCTGCCTAGTCATTGTTTAGACAGAATATATAATCACAAAATGGTGGATGCTCGACTTGCCCTTACTTTAGTGCTAATAAACTTCTTTGTATCTCAAATACACCAAAGCTTTAATATGGTTCCAAATGTCACTGCCAATGCGGCTCTCTTGCCATGTTTCGTATGCAACTGCGTCCATCAATAAATGTTCAACACAAATGATTTTAAATTGCATCATGACCTCGCTTGTAACAATGTGCCATTTATATTTTTATTTCCGTTTTTGGCTTTATATTTAAAAAAGAAAATTTTTGGGCCCATGCAAGTTTTTGAAGGACCAGAAGAGCCAAATCTCACCGAGCCAGTTCTCCAAAAGGAACCAAATAAAACCTACAAGTTCAAAATATGCTTGGTTGGTGACGGCGGTACTGGGAAGACCACATTCATAAATAAAGTTCTGAATGGGGATTTCATTTCAAAGTATTATGCTACCCAGGGAGCAGTAACGAAGTTCTTAACTCTAGGAATTGGGGAGAACTCTTATGTAAAGTACGAAGTTTGGGACACTGCAGGCCAGGAGAAGAATGTGGGACTTAGAGACGGATACTACATTGGTGCAATAGCAGGGTTCTTTTTCTTTGATGCAAATAGCCGTGAGACAATGGCCAATATTCCCAAGCACATGAAAGCATTTTACAATGCATGTGGAGTAGAAAATCCGAAGATGTTTATTCTGGCCAATAAAATTGACATAGCCAAGAACATGTGCGACTTTAGTAAGTATGCACCAAAGGTGGCACATTATAACCCAGAGTTTGTTGAGATAAGTGCCAAAACAGGATATAATTTTGATAAGCCATTTACAAAACTGACTAGATCGCTGTTCAATGATCCTAGTCTTAATCTTACGGCCAACATCAGTCTTGAATCTGTAGACTTTAACTATGACATTCTTGCTGGCACACCGTCAGTTGAGGATGCATCTAAGATTGCTGATCTGGCACCTGAGGAATAAATTAAATAAACAATTTAAGAAACGTGTTTTATTTTTGATGTTCTACTGCTGCGAGCATATATTCTGAGGCAGTAAGCCGAGATGATTTTTAAGCACAATGTTCCTCGAACGCCACAAAAAGTCACAATCGCAGTAGCCTTGTTTGCTTACCAGACCTTACATTTCTCCAAACTTTTTGTTTATAAAGTTTCTTCTTTTTGCTATTTCTGTACAAAGCGACTTTTACTTGCATCATTCATAACTGAGGATAAATTTTTTAGAACTATTTATTTGAGAGTTCCACCGGGTTTCATATAATAGCTAGCCAAGTAAGTCGGATGTATGACTTGCTAAGCAGGTCGTTATATCACTTTACATGTGGCTCATTTTTAAATGACTATGCTGTGTTTATAGCTTCTTAGTCAGGTGAATGGGCAATGATCAGTGTAGTTCAGAACATCTGTCACATACATTTAATAAAGTGGTTTTACCAGAATAACTACAAATATTAATAAAATTAACGTTTTAATCTAGCAACTTCCCAATTTAATATTTCATAAATCTCTTTTTTGTCTTATATCTAATATATAGTCTGTAAACTATGTGGAAGATTAAAATAATAGCCAAGAAACATGATAGTCTGAGAATTTCACTTGTAAAGAGATTTATAAAGGGGTACAAATACTTCCCTCTAATATTTCCTAGTATTACAACCAAGCTGCACCACAATATCAAATAGCATGTCATGACCAAAGATTGCAATCTAGTTCGTCTCAGCTTAACATCAACCTGGTCTAAAATCAATAAAATCAATGGAAAAAGATGCAGTCCTAGCTCTGTCAATATGGGTGTTTCATACCCCGGTTTGAGAAAGTTCTTGTTTATAAGTAATTTTTTATCAACGAAATAAAGGACTCCAAAACACCCCCGTGACAACAATTTCGAAAGTAAGTGCAACTGGAAGGAGTGTGTTGTAGAGTTTAAACAATCTAGGCTTGAGTCTGTATATGAAACCAACAGCCACGGTTAGAACGGTGAAGTACAGGGATTGATTCGTAAAATATAAAAATTTGAGATCAGAATAAGTGTGCTTATATTCTCTTTGTTTTGGATTGTTCGAGTAAGGAGTAACAGCATAACAGCATATTATAAACAATATTACTTTTGTCATGAATATCATTCTTTTTTTGATTTTGCTCAACCGATCATCATTTGTTTCATTGCGATTTGGACTCTTATCTGACTGAAAAGTGAAAAAGGCCAAGGAATCGTGGCCATGAAAGTACCAGCAACTGAGAAAGAATAGCATGATCGATCCGACAAGCAATATGATCCTTAAAGTACTTGCTACCACTGGAAAACCAGTATATTCTGTCGGATAGATATTTTCCAATCCAATTAAGCATCTAACATCTGAATTACTATTCATTGTTGGGGTAAATTTTTTCAAATCAAAAAATTGTAAAAAATGCAATGTAGCGGAGAAAATACATTATGCTCACACATAATGTAGAAATGTGCAGACATGCCGTATTTCTAACAATGTGCCGAGGATCTGGTCATAGTTGTGTAGTGAAGGCTACATCAGTATTAATTTATCCAACAGCTCCCATTTTAGTACAGTTACAGTCTTTGAGTAATATAATTCATTCACAAGGATTTACCTGTACAGCAATGGTTGGATATTGGCATTTCAATTCAAGCTTAGAGCTATATAATTGTGATTTTCCTGTCAAAATTCGAGCTAATTTAAAAATTTTCAGCCACACCCCTAAATGAATATTGCACAGACGATAAAGACATACAAAGCAATCTGGAGTCTACTTGTGCTCATGGGAGCTACACTCCATAACTCGGACAATGGTGCAAACACAGGTGGAATCTATAGCTTTAGAAATTATCCTGTGGATACGACTGAAATATCTATATCTAACCAAGGCATTAGATTTATTGGCAGCGATATTAAAAGACTAGTGAACCTAGAGAAACTGAATCTCAGTGATAACATGTTAAAGTCATTACCGGCTGATATAGGAGAGCTGAAGAATCTAAAAACATTGTATCTTGATTTAAACAAGCTTGAGACATTACCAGACACTATAGGAAAGCTGTTCAGTTCTTTGCAACTACTGATTTTGTTGGGCAATAACATTTCAGAGGTTGGTGATGGAAAAGAGACTCTGGGTAGCAGGGAATTGAAAGTGATATTTGAGAATCGTGTTATGTTTGATGGGAATATCTTACAAGGACAATAATTGCAATTATTGGTTCACAAATTTGAGGCAGTTCTTTCTCTTCGATTCAGTACTTCATGTGTCTTTATTTTCCATCTGGCAGGCAACATGGTGTTTTGGGTTGAGCTTGCACATGCTGTTCAGATATATCTTTAAGAAACTGCGGGACAGGAATGCATGCTGCACTACTGGTGCTAGCTATTGCCAAATAGTACAGCCACAAGCACTGCAATTTCACTATCAGCACGCTGATCCTTGGCCAGTTGAGGAGAATGTGTGACGAGAGACTGTGGTGGTAGTATGAGCAACTAAGAAGGCTATATAAAATGTAGAGGATATTTTTGAGACATATAAATGGCTGTGGATTGGTACAGCCCTTGTGTAGCGATGTATCGCAGGATCTGTAGTTTGTACGAGCCAATCTTTAAATAAGGTTATTTAAGTATTGTAGCTAGATTTTGTCTATTTATAAAGTGCATGAACAATACCACCTACCACTTCGCCCACAGTTGCTAATGTCAAGAGCCATAGACTGGCAGCTCAATAGTAACAATACTCAAAGAGCATTTGTGTAGAAGATAAAGTTTAAAAGTATTAAAGTGTTTTAAATCGGTATTGAAGACCAATTTAATTAGTTCGTGACATCTAACTCATGTTTTTTCTTCTCACCCGGTTCAATAAGCTCGCTATATACTTGTTCCAGTTCATCTTTCATATCACTAAACGGATAGTATAAAACTGTCTGATCCAGAATTATTGCCATGAGTTTATTTGGAAAAACATCTTTGAAAATTGGATCGATATTTGACGTGCGGTTTCTGTGCAAACTCAGACACTTCAAGTTTGGCATAGTTCTGTGTATACCTGTCTCAGCATCAAAGTAGTTTTGAAGACTAACCTCTACAATTTTGTTATTATTCAAGCAGAGGTATTCAAGACCAGTGAGATTATACAAGCATGGTATCTCTGTCAATCCAACATCAAACAAAAACAACGCTGTTATATTACTGAGATCTGGATTGTTCAGTGCATCAATGTCAATAGTCGTTTTTTCTATCCACAACTCTTCTGTTTCACAATGATCAGTGAGGAACTTCCATGCCTTGATTGGAACATAGTTAAATCCGAAGCCTGATGTCGAGATTGTTGTGAGTTTTGATTCCCATAAGTATGTTTTAAGCTCTTGAACTGCTTCATCTTTTGGACTACCATCTTCATTTAAAAATTTATCTTTTGTTGCATTGCAAGCATAATACAGTTTCATTGCCACAATTTCACGAATGTTAGCTTCGTTACTTAGATAGTCTCCATGTTGGTCAAGACTCAGATATCCAAAGTACTCATTGATTATTCCAGAGATTCTGGAATTATTCATAAAAGTAGTAAAACGGCCATCTGGGTCCTTGAAAACACTAAGTTCAAGAGTTGGGTGGGGTGAGGTGTCTTCTAGTGCATCATCAAAGACAAGAAAGTATTGGGGCTCGCATTCCAAGGGTCTTCGTTCATCACTCTTCATATTACAACTGGCATCTGTGGAGAATAGGATAGGAAATCCAACAGGCAGTACTCTGATCAGATCAGTTACAGTTTTGATTGAAAGTAACAAGCCGTGCATGGGTGTGCATGCAACTTTTATATTGTACAAAACTTAGCGATTTAATTTATCAGTTGATTTTAGTATGACAGAGAATACTCAAAGGATAGTCTCAGATAACATATAGCCAGTAGAGCAGTGCACAAACCAGCCACATTCACAGAATATGTATATCTCTCCTGCTGTCTTTGTTTAATAAGCCTATATGTATGTGCAAGACATATGTGATTGATTGTCTCAAGCCAAGTTGCAAATAGAAAAACTTGTTCAGAAGACTAGATCCAAGGCCTGGCAGTATAGTGGTTGATATGGATTTTTAGCGATGTAAAATAGATAGGTTAATATTAGGATGGATAGGAGCATATCAGTTGGCAGCAGCTCTACTAGATGAGAATGGATATAAAATAAGTAGGTGGTTAGATATGATGAAGATAGAAGTGAATATTATAGTAGTCAGGGGTAGGATGGCAGAGTATATGGATAGGAAAGCAGGGAGACATACATTGGTGTTTAATCAAATATCTTGATATGTAAGACAGCAAGTGATGAAAGCATTGGCATGAGACAAGGGAAATACAAGCATTGGAAGGGCTACTGTTTCCTATGCATGATGGAGCTCTAGAGTGGATGTGCAGTATGCATAACTATATCAATGTGTACAAATGTATAGTTTATGGTTGGTGAAGATTGTTTCCAAACAGCTCTGATTTTCTAAAATTTTTATCAAATTTTTAGATAAGTTCTGGTCGTATTTTGCACCTCATAAAATGCCTACTTCAACCACTACAGACAGCTTAGCTGATGTCGGTGATACACACAATGCAGCTACTGAACAAGCAAGCATTGTTGGGAGGCCCAAGCATCTTCTTGGTGGTTCTTATGCTGTGGTCAAGAAAGTACTGGCCAGTGAGTTTGCAAAGTACCTAGCTCTGCAGATGGTTATTTTGGTGCCAGCACTTGCATACAACTGCATTAGGCTATGGCAGTTCTGCTCAGAAAACACAGTCGCACCCACTATCTTCTGCTTCGTAAATGTGGACAATTGGTCAGTAATGATCTTGCACATTGCTACTAGGTATAGAGGCTTTTTAGTGCTACAGGTGATGATATTTTTTCTTGGAGTCCTGGATGTGGCATCTGAGTACATATTCAACCACTATGAGGTTCCATATTCGAAAAGAAGAAGAGTTTTCTGGGGAGTATTGGGCCTATTATTGTTAGTAGCATGTGTTGTTTCAATTGAATTATTTTCCACTATATGTGGCGGCATTATTGGCAGCATAGTTATATATGGCATGGTCAAGCTTGTTTCCTTCATTACCTCGAAGGTATCAGCAGCTCGTCTCATAGTTTTTGGCAACTGTCTCGTCGCTGCAGTGGCTCTCCTGTTAGCATATTTTGCACCCTATCTTCTGGGAGGTACTCCCATTACTGAATACTTCCAAAGGAATAGAATGGATATTTCTCAATACGAAAAGTTTTTTGCCGAGTTCGATGTTGACATTTCAAGAGTGTTTGTTGTAGGTGGTATTCTTTCTGACAATGCAGCCAGCAATGCTGTTCCATTCAAATCTATGATGAGCATCATGATTGGCAAGGATACGATCCAGAACAACAGCTTTGAAGTGGTCAAAGCTTTGATGCTGCGCGATATAGGACATGCAAGACACTTTGATCTTTTATCCATCATCATTGTACCCTATATTATTGCATCCATAGGAATGTGCTTTCTGGTGAAGAGGATTGGAAAGGAGAAGAACAAGTCTGCACTAAAGCATTTTGTGACAGTGTGTGCACAGATCGCATTATTTTTCCTCATCGCTGAGCAGGCTTACAATTTGATTGCAAGTATCTGTGTGTTTAATGCATACAGGTTTGCATGCTCATATGTAGATTTATCTCAGAATCTTTTAAATATGCCTGAGAATAACAAAGCACTCACGTACTAGTGTCTGCCATTCTCATTACTGATCAGCCATCCCTCTAACTTCCACAGGCTGAGGCAGAATAACTACATGGTCAACGGAAGCGTAGAAATGACGCCTGTGCTAGATGGATGTCCCTTCTAGAGCCAGGACATCTGCAGAACTGTGGTTTATCTTTGCACAGACATTGAAATAAATTACTTATTTAGCAGTGTTATTTAATTTTCATACAGCCTGTAAGCTTGATGCACAGAACATTGAGCAGTATCCGTTTCTGGTGTGAGATTGAAATAGAGTTCATCTGCACGGCATCCTTAAATGAATTAAGCAGCTAACTGCATCTGTTTTGGCTCATCTTCAAATTGATCCTTCTATGTCAAGAGTCTAGTAGCTGATTAGTGCAGGAAGACAGAGGATGTTCTTGACAATAGCAGGGGTAGCTACACGATCTGCACAGGGAACACACTATTTCGATATTTGATAGAGACCACAGACAAGAGTCATTTAAGAATGAGTTCTAACTAGTGCTTAAATAAATGCAAACCAACTGTATGCTTTATCGCTGGCTTTATGCTTAACTATATCTATGTGTGTTGGAAATAGATAACTCATATGCAATCTCCTGCCGTGATATGCTACAGGAGAATATATTTCCATTCAGCTGGATCGCAAGAAAACACTAGAGCATCTATTGTGTACTAAATGCTACTCCAGTGATGCTTATTCAACGAATCACATTTAATACAATCTGAAGTGATTACACTTTGAATGGCTTGATACCTGTCAATATCCTATTGTTAAGCGCAGTCTTTGAATAGGTAGAACTTACTCACAAATTACCAGCACAGCTAGTGGTTGTATGTTGACAGCAAATACTGTCATACTTGTAGTCAAAGCTTATATATTCCATTGTGATTTTTAAGTTTAAAGATATATCATTGTGATTTCCTGTCAAAATTCGAATTAATTTAATTAATTTAAAATTTTTTAACTCATACCCTGATGAATATTATACGAACAAAAAAGGCATACAAAGCAATTTGCAGTCTGGCTGTACACATGGGAGCTACACTCCAGAGCTCTGGAAATGTCACAAATCCTGAGAGCGTTCAATGTCCCAATCCACTTGGAGATCCTGGAACTGGGGAGACAGTATGTTCTCTACCCTACAGCTTTGAAGAGTATTCTGAGAATGAAACAGAAATATCTATATCTTTCAAAGGCATTACATCTATTGACAGCAATATTAAGAGACTATTAAAGCTAGAGAAGCTGGATCTCCGTAGTAACGACATCGAGATATTGCCAGCTGAAATAGGTGAACTGGAGAATTTACAGTGCTTAAATCTTAATAGTAACAAGCTTGAGACATTACCGGCTGTAATATGGGAGCTGAAGAATCTACAAGAATTGCTTCTTAGTGATAACAATATCGACACACTACCACCTAAGATAGTAAATCTGAAGAATCTACAATACCTGGATCTCAATAATAACAAACTTACGACATTGCCAGTTGAGATAGGAAGTCTGAAGAATTTAAGGGTACTGTATCTCAGTTACAACAGGCTCGAGACACTACCAGTTGAGATAAGTAAGTTATCAAAATCTTTGGAGTTATTAGATTTGACGGGTAATAATATTTCAGAGGAAGGAGAAAGGGAAAAGACTCTAGGTAAAAAAGAACTGAGAGCGATATTTGAAGATCGTGTTGAATTCAATGGGGATGTCTTATAAGGACTACGAGTCAATATTACTGTAATAAATTGGCTCACAAACTTAATGTAGTTCTTTCTCTTCAATCCGTGCCTTGGATGTAGGAGTATGCGTCTTTACTACAGTAAGTCTTCGAACATTATCTCGAAGAATATTCATTAATCTGTATGTAACTTTTCTATCCTAGCTTTCTAGAAGAGATATTGGGATGTGATGCCATTCCTCTTTAGATGGATTGTGTGCTCGTAAAATGCATTCAAGAGTGTTTTAGTAATACAGTATAAAGAAGTTGATAGATTTGAATGTTAGCTAGTCCATTTCTCAAGGCTTTTGATAGTTCCAAAGCACTCAATGAGGCAATAAAAGCTTTACTGACCAGCCCACATGCATGTCTTCATGAGATACTTACGATGCTCAGAGAAGAGCATCTGTGCACGGCACTCACATTTTATTCTCTACCAGTGGAGAGCCTAATGGCTCTGGGCAACTCCAAACGGGCATGAAAATACATAGCAATGAACACCAGATCTCTAGCGATAATGACAGGGATGCCGAGTATTTAAATTGTATCGCAAAAGTACAGTACGATTGGCGTCACAGACGATATGAAGACCGAGTATAGGCAAGTAATTAGGAAAGCACCCAAGTGATTGTATCTCAAGGTAGCTGTCAGTGCTCTTGATCCTGAGGTGGGTAAATCCGATGAAAAGATTTATTAAAGAGATTGACTTTGGTACATTTATTTACTTTATGCTGTGGCACATTCATCTAGTGAATAATAGTAAACACATGCAAGACTATCAGTGGTTTTATTTCTGCCGCATTTCGATGCTTCCAAAACATGCAATCTGTAGCCAGATATTTATATCCTTACGAAGGTTGCACGAGTACAGCTGCCATCTGATGTAGTAGAATAGAGTACTTCGATTAAACAGGCCAGAGAGCTAGCTATCTCTTGGTTTGGGATGCGGTGCACACATGTGCAGCTATGAGCCACGTCTATCTGCTTCTTTGTTGAGTCCAGCCCCAAAGGAATGAAGATAACATTCAGCGGAGCAGATGACGCATTTCTGAACAGCAACCAAATTGAAATAGAGCCAGAGACAGTGGACAGAGAGTGCTTGGGCACAGTGGACAGGGTGATTTCGTATATTTACAGGACAGAGCCAAGAGCACACAGGAGCTTCTTCAGGCCAGACGCTACGCTTGCACATGGAACGATATGCCTGATTGATGAGCAAGACATTGAGATGAAAGAGGATAAGGAGGTGGGGGTGGGGGTGGACAGCCACATAGTGCTTGTTTCCACGCTGCATGGAGGATAGCAGAGATATTCCTGCGAATGGCATATACATACAGATTAGGTAAGTTGGATTGGAGAAATGTCTGTCTGGACTATGGCTTACAATCCAGCCATATGAGTGATGCTATATCTTGACTCATTCTACTGGATGCTCTATTCTAGCAATACAGGCAATGGCTCATCCTCGGACTGCTTCTTCTATGCCAAGAATCCAGTAGTTGTTAATGCAAGCGTGTAGACAGGCAAAGGATGTTCTTGATAATAGCAGGAGTGGATACATGATCTGTACAGAGAACACTACATATTTCTATATCTGATAGAGATCACAGACAAGAGTCATCTATGAATGTGTAGTCTGTTCGTGTGCCTGATCATGACCACGTAGGATTTACTCAATTTACTTTTCTGACTAGTGCTTAAATAAATGCAACTAACTTTATATTTTATCGCAGGCTTTATAGTTTAACTATATATATCTATATACTCACATACAGTCTTCTACCGTGCTATGCTACGGGGAATATGCTTGTTTCTGTACTGGACATTTAGACAATCAACAGCGCACCCAATCCACCTGCATTCAACTGGATTGCACAAAGAATATAGTAGAGCATCTACTGTGCAGTAAGCTGTGCACTAACTACTCAAGTGTTATTTGTCTAACAGACCACAAGTCAGTCTGGAATGATTGCACCGGAATGATTTGACATGACATGTACCAATATATTAAAAATTTTTCAAAAATAGTCATTGAGTAGTATAATTTATTCACAAGGATTTTACCAGTACGGTGATGATTGCTTATAATTAAAGCTTATATATTATTGTGCTTTTTAAGCTTAGAGGTATGCCATTACTAGTGTCAAAATTTGAATATTTAAAAAATTTTTAGCTCATACCCTAATGAATATTGCACGAACAAAGAAGGCATACAAAACAATCTGCATTCTAGTTGCATTTGTGGGAGCTACACTTCTTAGCACATCCAGTGGAGTCAATCCAGGCTTGGGGAACATTCAAAGCCCCGATCCAGTTGGGTATGAGGCTTGTACATATCAAAGGTGTTATGAGGATATTGACAATGAATTTTCACTTCTCGAAGACATTACATCTCTTCCTAATGTGATAGAAGAGCTGAAGCATCTATGTTGTCTAGATCTCCATGGACAAGGGCTAAGGTCATTACCAGCCTTGATAGGAGAATTGAAAAATCTATAATGGCTGCATCTCGGCAATAACAAACTAGAGACACTACCTGATGAAATAGGAAAGCTGAAGAATCTACAAGAACTGGATCTCAATGATAAC